CGACAAACCAAACGGCTTCACTCCTCATTAACCATTAAATATTTATCTAACATATAAAAAATATAATAATGTTTGAGCAGAGCTGGAACTGCACTGGATAACATTTAAATCTAGATAAGTAATTTATTCTTAAAATAAGTGCATTTGTTGTTGAATTCAGGAGATAACAGAGAGATTTTTCCAATGGAACAAAATAATTTACATTTAAAATAAGAAAACACAATTTCTTATCTTATAATAAATAAGACTAATTTCTTGTCTTATTTCAAGTGCATATTATCTAATTATCTTATTTTAAGAGTAAAAAAATCAACATTTCACTGGTAAAATATCTCACCTGCTCAAATTAAGGGTAAATCAACTTAATTTAAAACATTTTAACTTGTTTCTAGATCGTTTTTGTAGTGTGTCATACAGATGGGTGTTTGGTTCAATGCATGCAAGCTGAAATCATGACCCGTCCACCACCGTGCTTCATAGCAGATCAGAGGCTTTTGTCCACCATGCATCCATTAAAGATCATCTTTTATTTGTCCGTTGATCTTCTTAGTGTGGATGGATGTCGGCTCTGCAGCCTCAGTGTCTCCCTGAACTCTGGGTTCTGTGACTGAGCTTGTGAATTCAGGGGGATCCGATGGTTGTTTACGTTCATTAGTCCCTGTTCTAATTGTCGCAGTAACATTTTAACCATATGTTAAACGGAGTCTTTTCATCAGTCAGATGTCGATGGATGATTAATAAATCTGCATCGTTCTGTTAATGGTTGCAGATTGAATGGATTAAAGCGGATCCTGTTGTTTTGTTGGATGCAGTCTGTCCCACGTCTCCTCCTCCTTCCTCATCGGTTCCTCCTCTGCATCAGACCAACGGTTCACATCCTGTTTTAAAGTCTCAGCAGAAAAGAACCAAGTCGGTAAATTCGCTCAGACTCCTGAGATCTGCTTCTAAACGGCGCTCGGAAGCCATTTTGTTAGTTGGCTGGGAATCAGAGGGATGGCGAGGTATCGCCTCTGTTTACTGCTCCGTTGTGCGGTTGTTGTTGTTTGTGCTCGATGGTTGTGGGGAGGTTGTTTGCTCCCATGCAGCGCATGCAAATCGGAGGGAGGACGACAAATTTACGGATTTGGCAGCGCTGGTATTCCCTGAAACGCGGGATGGTGGCGCGGCCGCCGGGCCTGAGGTTTGTGCCTCCATAGGCGTCCTGATTCCAGCGATCTTCTTCTTCATTTAGATTCTTCTGTCACATGAACGCACACGCAGCCCGTTCTCCTCGTGCACACGTGTTCAGCGTGACCCCGCACACACATGCTCTGCCCACCCCCGCTGTGGCTTTCTGCAGGCCTCGGCATTTTGATGAGCCTGCTGCTGTTTGTGAATGCAGCTAATTAGAGCCCTATAGGCAGAAGTTTCCGACCGGCGGGGCGAGGCCAGAGGCTGGACCGGCCCAGAACAGACGCCGTCCTACTCCCGCTTCATTTTGCTAATTCAAGCTTATTAACTTGGCTGGTTTATCTGTTTGTTAATAATCTATATTTGATATGGAAGTTACAGCATCTGAATAAAAACCTGGATCTGGAAATAAACTCCAGAAATTAACCAATATTTTCAGGCATGAGAAAATGTAAATAACCTGCTTGGAAATCTGCATGTCAATAAATTAGAATATTAAAAAAATGTAACTTAATGGAGTAAATCAGTTCAAAAAGGGAAGAAAAACTGAAAAAGTTTATTATAATTATCTACACGCTAATTAAAAGCTAATTTATCAAAATAAACAGACTGGAAAAACGATCTAGAAATTAGTAGAAACTTCAGTTTATTCAGCCTTAATATGATGATCTGCTAGGGACTATATTTACTGTTAAAACAAGGTCTATTGATAATATGCACTTAAAATAAAACAAAGCAAGTGTTCTCTTTATTTTAAATGTAAATTGTTTTGTTCCATTGGCAAAGTGTCTCACTTCAGTCCCCAAATAAGAAGAAATGCACTTATTTTATGAAGAAATAACTTATTTAGATCTACTATTTACTTTTGCACTGAAGGCTTTATGAAATTAGATTATTTTAGACTTGGACTCAGCTTTATTAATCCATTGAGATTAGTCCTTCAGGGAAATTCTGGTTCCAGTAGCTTATATAGAGTACAAAGAAAAAAGCATTAAAAAAGCTGTAATGTCCTGAAATATGTTTCCCTTAAATATAAAAATATGTAGACAGTAGAGATCTAAGGAAATGCCACGCAGTAGTTGGCATGTGTTATTGCACAGTGAGAGAGAAGACTATTGCACACGACTGACAATAGGTGATTCTAGATATATAGGTAAATACAAATAAGAAATATGCAAAATAGAGCTATAATCAGAAGGTCAAAGTTCAGCTCTGGGAGAAGGTTGAATATGTGCTTAATAAGACTCCACACATTATGTTATATGTGAAAAGGAAAACAGATTTACAAATTTACAATTGTAAAGAATAAGGTTAGACAGTCAGTTCTATTCTCTTTTTTATGAACAAAGTCTATAAAGAACTTAATCCATGCGTGTTCTGCAGCCTCCACTTCCTATAGCTCCACAAGGCCGCGGAATGGTCCCCAAAGTTTGGTTGTGAGAAGTGATCAATGATTATTGTAATGTTGGTATATAGATGAGTG